TTTTTTGTTTCTGATTATCTTTATTTGGGTCTTCTCTCTTCTTTTCTTGGTTAGTCTCACTAATGATTTATCAAGTTTTTTTATTTTTTTTAAACGAAATTTTTGTTTCATTTATCTTTTATACTGTTTTGGTATTCTATTTAGTTCTGCTATAATCATTGTTATTTCTTTATTTCTGATAATTGTGAATTTCATTTGATCTGGCTTTTCTAGTTCTTTATTTAGAATTGTTACTTTCTCTTGCTGAGTTGAGTTGATATTCTTATTTCATTTATTCTTTATATTGTTTTCAGTGTCTATTTCATTTAGTTCTGTTATAATCATTGTTATTTCATTATTTTCTGCTAATTGTGAATCTTGTTTGATCTTGCTTTTCTAGTTCCTTATTTACAATTGTTATTTTCTCTTGCTGAGTTGATACCTTTATCATTATAAAATGACCTTTATCATTTTATTGTTTTTAATTTAAAGTCTGTTTTACCTAATTATAGCAAATTCTGCTTGCTCTTGATTTCCATTTGTGTGAAATATCTTTTTCCAATGCTTTGCTTTCAGTCTGTACATGTCTTTACAGATAAGGTGAGTTTCTTGTAGACAGCTTATGGTTGAATCATGTTTTTTTTTAACTCATCTTATCAATGCATGCCTTTTAAATGCAGTGTTTAATCCTTCTATGTTCAAGGTTAGTATTGATAGGTGAGGTTTTGTTCCTGTCATATTTATTATTAATTGTTGTCTAGTTGTTTTATACATTCTCTCTTCTTTATTTTTTTTCACTGTTCATTTTTGGTTTGGTGAAATTCTGTAGTGGTGTCATTTGATTCCTTTCTCCTCCTCCTTTGTATTATTGCATTAACAATGAGTTTTATGTTTTTTGTGTTTTCATGATGGTGAATACCATTCTTTTGTTTCCAAGTTTAGAACTTTTTTGATCATTTCTTATATTTCCAATCTAGTGGTGGCAAATTCTATCACTATTTTCTTGTCTGGGAAAGACTATTTGTCCTGAAGCTTAATTCTTGCTGTATATAGAATTATTGGCTTGTAATTTGCTTGTTTTTTCTTTCAACATTTTGAATGTATCATTTCACTACCTTCTTACCTGCAAGTTTTCTGGTGAGAAGTCTGCTGTTATTCTGAAGTAGTTTCTTTTGTAGATGACTAGATGTTTTCCTCTTGCCAACTTTAGAATTTGTTCATTTGCTTTGATTTTAGACAGTCTAATAATAATATGCCGTGGCAAACTCATTTTTGCATTGTATTTTTCTGAGGATCACTGAGCCTGTTTTATCCATTTGTCTAAATTTTTTTAATAGACTTGGAAGTTGTTATACATTATTTCATTAATAGGTTTCCTAACCTTTTTTCCTTAGGAATACCAATAATTTATAATTTCAGTCATTTTAGGTAGTCTCAAAAGTCTTGAAGGCTTTGTTTATTCTTTTTTATTTTTGTCTGACTGGATTACATTTTAAAACCTATCTTCAAGTTCAGATTCTTCATTCCGCTTAATCTTGTCTATTGATGAAGCTTTCAAATGTAATTTTGTAATTCTTGCAATAAAATTTTTAGTTCCAGGATTACTGTTTTTTTTTAAGTTATCTATCTCATTGGCAAATTTCTTGTTCATATATTAAAATGATTTTCTGATTTGTTCGTATTGATTTTCAGATTTATCTTGAATTTCATTGAGCTTCTTTAAAATCAATATTTTGAATTGTATCTGGAACTTGGAGGATTTATTTGTGTTTAGCATTTGTTGCTGGAGAATTTTTGTGGTTTTTTGAGGGTGTGGTTTTGAGGGTGTGAGGGTTACCTAGCTTTTTCATGTATCCTGTGTCTTTAGGTTGTTTTCTGCATATCTGGTGTAACAGTTCTTTTTATTTTTGAATTTCCTTTAGTTAGGGGAGAAATTTTTTCTTAAAGATGTGACAACTCTGTTGGTTGGGTGTAGCCTTCTGGTTTTACTCCTGGGTGTATGCAATAGTGAAAATGCTGTATGATTTATTTAGCTATCCTCAGTGTGTTAGGTTACAGTTACTCATGGGGGCACTGGTGAACTTATGTTCCAGTTTCAGTGCCAGATGCATCCATCTTCAGATTAAGTGATGGTGAATTAAGCATGTCTATCTTTGTAATCTGGGGAAGCATATGCTGAAATCTGTGTTGGTGGATCCAGGAAAATCAGTTCTGTATCCTCTGAATGATGTTCCAGGATGCTAATTGTAATAGCACTGTACTGGGTAAGTGAGTGGGTTATTTTGCTCCTGGGTTGCTTGGGAGTAGTGGATGATGGTGGTGGCAGTGGCAATAAGATGTCCTTCTAGTTTCCACACACTGTACTTTTGTGTTGGAAGTGGTTGAAATGGACTACTCAAGTCAGCCTCCAGACCAATAGATGATACTTGCAGGTTGGAGCTAGCCAAGCTAGTAGCAGTATGCCAACCTTTGTGCCCTGGAAGAAGTACTCAGGTGTCCCAGGTGGTGGATTGAACTGTGGAACATCCAGAAGCCTGACTCCTACAGTCTCATGGGGTTACTAAAGCTGGGTGGACCCAAACCAGGCAACAGGGTGGGCATGCACCAGCTGTGATTGGGGAGTGGAATGGTCCTCAGTCCCCTGGAGAAATGCTTGGGTGAAAAGTGACCGCTGCTATGTTGATGTTCTGCCACTGGGGGGATGGTGCTTGTCCCTGTAGTTACTGCTTTGACCAGTGAGCTGGGGGCTGTGCCCCTCTTATGCCCCAGTCCCAAAAGGTGTTTAGTCAGTCCCAGCAGTTCTCACCCAGCCTGTAATTCAGCCCCAAGCCACAGGAGCTACTGTCAAGCTCAGTACCAAGTATCTAGAACAATTATTATCCTGCTCATGTCTGGGATAGTTGCCCAGTTCCAGAACCAGCAGCTGGAGTTCTTGCCATGTTTGCTTCTCAGTTCTGGTTGTGGCAGCACTTTCCCACTCAAGCCCTGGTTCTGCAAGCCACAACCCAAGTCTCCCTAATGCCTAAGACTGCTGTTGTTGGTTCCCAGGATCATGCACAGTTTTATAAGAGCTAGGATAAAAAATGGTGCCTTACTGTAGCTGCATAAGTCTGAGGAAGAGAGTAAGACACTCCTTGGAGTAGTTCCTTCTCACAATATCCCAGCTACTCCCTAAGTTAGATTCAAGGATTGGGAGGGTCTAGGTGTTTGCCCACATCCTAGATTGTATAATTTCATCAGTGGGAAAATGGACCCACAGAAAAGACATTCACATACCCTTTCTTATACTGGGGATTCACTCCCAGTTTTTTACCATTCCTGGCCATGCAGCCTGCCTGTTTTACTTCTTCTTTTGAACTCCCATGTTCCTTCTTGGATAATATATTTAAAGCGTCATTGTTGTTTTGGTTCTTCAAGGTAGGTGAGGCATGCTGAAAGTGCTTCTAATCAGCCATCATTTGACCCAATAATTTCTCTTCTGACACTTTATATGAAGATGATTACACATGTACATAAGGATGCACACATAGGTATTTTCATTGTGTTAATACCTTTTAGAAGTCTCTCAAATAATCTTATTGCTTCACTTAAATTCAAAAATCAAGTTTAGATTCTGTGGAGCTGAAATGCTCACTAGCTGCCTCATCATTGGCTCTATGGTTATCTAATTTTTTACAAGGGTAACAAAAGACACAGTGAGGAAAGGATAGTCTCTTTAATAAATAGTGCTGGAAAAGTAGATTTTATCATGCAAAAAATGAATTTGAGCCCTTATCTTACATCATACCCAAAATCAACACAAAATGGATTGAAGACCTCAATGTAAGACCTGAAACTCCTACAGGAAAACATAGGGGAAAAACTCTTTCACACTGGCCTTTGTAATGATTTTTTGGATATCACACCAAAAGCTCAAAATACAAAAGCAAAAACAAATAAATGGAACTACATCTAAATAAAAAGCTTCTGCAGAGCAAAAGAGGCTATCAGTAAAATTAAAAAGCAACCTATAAATTGGGGGGAAATATTGCAAACTATGTATCAGATAAGAGTTAATACCTGACATTTTTTAAAGTCATAATATTTAATAGCAAAAAAATTAAAACTTTATTTTTAAAATGGACATAGGACCTGAGTGTACATTTATCCAAAGAGGAAATAAAAATGGCCAACAAGCATATGAAAAGGTGCTCATCATCACTGATCATCAGAGAAATGCAAATCAAAACCACAATGAGATACCATCTCATACCAGTCAGAATGGCTACTAGTAAAAAGTCAAAAAGTAACAGATGCTGGCAAGGTTGCAAATAAAACTGAATGCTTATGCACTGTTGATGGGAGTATAAGTTAGTTTAACCATTGTGGAAAGCAGTATGGTGATTCCCCAAAGAACTGAAAACAGGACTACCATTTGACCCAGCAATCCCATTACTGAATATATCCCCAGAGGAACAGAAATCATTCTACCATAAAGATGCATGTACATGAATGTTCATTGCAGCACTACTCAAAATAGCAAAGACATGAAATATAAATGCCCATCAAAGATAGACTGGATAAAGAAAATGTGGTATAGATACACCATGGAATACTATGTAACTATGAAAAAAGAATGAGATTATGGTTTTTGTGGGAACATGGATGAAGCTAGAGACCATTATACTTAGCAAAGTAACACAGAAAAAGAAAACCAAATACCACATGTTCTCACCTATAGGTGGGACCTAAATAATGAGAATTCATGAATACAAACAAGGGAGCAACAGACATTGGGGCCTAGTGAGTGTGCAGGGTGAGAGGAACAAGAGGAACAGAAAAAATAACTGTTGGGTACTAGGCTTAGTATCTGTACAACAAACCTGGGTGACACGACTTTACCTATATAACAAATCTGCACATGTATCCCTGAACCTAAAATAAAAGTTCAAGAAAATCAACAATGAAAACACAGTATGGCATCCTAGGTTCTTGCCATTTTTCCACATATAATATTTACCAGTACCTCTCTTCTCTTAATCTACCTGGGTTCTAATCATGAAAACTGACTTTTTAAACTGTATTCAATGTCAGTGACACTGTCTCAAACAGATCACTTGGTGGTGGCTGACCACAATGGCACCAGACATCCAGGAAGTAAAGGTTATACTTCTTCTCTCTACCTAGCTATTCTTGTGACCTACAGAGTCATTTACATATTCTTGCTTCTATCTTCCTTATAACAATAGCAATATCTACCCAAATATTGTTCTTACTAATGTAAATGTGTTGCCCCATTTATCACCCTCTTGAGGGCCACTTTGATTTCCTTGTTCCTCAAACTATAGATCAGAGGGTTTAACATGGGGATAAGGGTAACATAGAATACTGAGAGCACCTTATCCTGCTTCATGGAGTGGCTAGAGCTTGGATGCATGTACACAGAAAGGGCTGTGCTGTAGAAGAGAGTCACAGCTACTAGGTGGGAGGCACAGGTATTGAAGGCCTTGGCACTACCTTTAGTTGATGACATTTTCAGTATCGAAGCTACAATAAAACCGTAGGACACAAGGATAACAAGCAAAGAGCCCAACCCAACAAAAATAGCTACCAGAAAAACAGCCATTTGGCTGATAAAGGGATTAGAACAAGACAAGGAAATAATCTGAGGTATGTTACAGAAGAAATGTTGGATGATGTTTGGCCCACAGTAGTAGAGATTAAAGCAAGGCACTGTTTGAACTAAGCTACTAACAAATCCACTCCCATAGGCTCCAGCCACCATCTTCCAACAGATAGCAGGGACCATGATGGCTGAGTACTGCAGAGGACTGCCGATGGCCACATATCTGTCACAGGCCATGACAGCCAAGAGGCAGCACTCAGCCAGACACATCCAGGACCCAACAAAATACTGAGTGGCACAGGCAAAGAAGGAAATTGTCTTCTCATCTTTTAAGAAGTCTGAAAGCATCCTTGGGCTGATGGTAGAAGAATAGCAGATGTCTATAAATGACAGGAAACTGAGAAAAAAGTACATGGGTATGTGCAGGTGAGAGTCCATCCTGATGAGGATGATAAGGCCCAGGTTCCACATCAGGGTCACAAGGTAGATTGCCAGGAAGACTAGAAAGAGGATGAGCTGAAGCTTTTTGTCATCTGAGAGTCCTAGGAGAACAAACATGGTCACAGAGGTGTGGTTTCCACTTACGTTCATGGATCTGCTTTGTGTCAACTGCTGAGAAAATGGAATGAGAAGAAAATGGGTTTATTCCACCCCCAAAAAAAAAGAAACACTATTTTTTTCAGTCATGAATCTGGCTAAATATAAAAACTTGAATCATCAATGTTGAGTTAATTTGTGTCTTTCATATATACAATCATGAAAATTTACTAAAAAATTTTTTGTTAGCTATTATGCTGAAGATAGTAAATAAGCATCATTAGTATGATACCACCTAAAAGGTCTTAGTTTAATGTGTTCCCATTTTATAACACATGAGACTTTGAAGATATGCTAAATTAAGAAAATTCTGTCATTTTTCTCTACAGTTGACTCTTGAACAACAGGAATTTAAACTATGCAGCTCTACTTATACACGAATTTCTTTTCAATAAGTACAGTGGAAAGTTTTTTAGAGACCCATAACAATTTGAAAAAAACTCGCAGATAAACTGCATAACCTAGAAATACCAAAAATATTAAGAAAAAATGTACATCACAACTTCATAAAATATATACAGACATTAGGCTATTTTATCATTTATTATCATAAAATATACAAAGATCTATTATAAAAAGTTAATTTTTTTAAAAAAATTATGATGAACAGACCATTTATTGGCTCACAGTTCTGGAGGATGTGAATTCCAAGATCAATGGACAAACATCTGGCAAAGGCCTTCTTGCTGTGTCATATCATGACAGAAGAGCAAAGGGAGTGCAAGAGAGAGAGTAAAAGAGGGCCAAGTTCCCCCTTTTATAATGAACTATCTCCCTTGATAATGGCATTAATCCATTCTCTCCACCTTCATGGCCTAATCACATTTCACTGGGCCTCATCTCCTAACACTGTTGTAAAAGTTAAAATTTATCCAAAGTTACATACAGACACTTAAACACTCATGGTACCATTCACAAATGAAGAAATATAAGCAAACATAAAGATGCAGTATTAAATCATAACCATATAATTAACTGTAGTACATACTTTACTGCTATAATAATTTTGAAACTATCTCCTGTTGCTATTGCAGTGAGCTCAAGTGTTGAGAGTACCTGCTTAAAGTGCTTTGTGAGGATAGTCATCCTCATGTGGGAAATTCATCTCTCCAAAAAATGCATAGAGCAGTAAAAAGTTCTCTTTCATGGCTCTCACATATTTTTCACTGTGCTTAGTACAGTATCATAAACCTTGAATAACACCATGGGACACATACAAAGTGCTACTAGTGACAGTGGAAGTGCTCCCAAGAAGCAGAAAAAATTGTCATGATATGACAAGAAAAAGTTGAATTGTTTGATATATATCACAGATTGAGGTCTGTAACTACAGTTGCCTGCCATTTTAAGATAAATGAAACCAGCACAAGGACCATTGTGAACAAAAGAAAAGGAAATTCATGAAGCTGTTACTGCAGCTACTCTAGCAGGTACAAAACTCTTATACTTTTTGTGAAATACCTTTTTATCTCATACTGAAAATGCAACTTTTATGTGGATGCGGGATTGCTATATGAAAGTCATACCTATAGACTCTAATATGATTCCAGAAAGAGTGAAGTCACTATATGCCAGCTTAAAGCAAAAGGAAGATGAAAGCTGGAGAATTTAATGCTGGAGAATTCTAAAGCTGGAGAATTTAATGCTAGTAAAGGATGGTTGGATGATTTTCCAAAGAGGTTTGGCTTTACAATATCAAGATAACAGGAGAAGCAACTTCTGCTGATCAAGAGAAGCAGAGGAATTCCCAGACACGATTAAGAAAATAAAAATCATTAAATAGAAAATTTATCTGCCTGAAGAGGTTTTTAATGAAGGCAAATGTACTCTATTCTTGGGGAAAAAATGCCACAGTAGACATTTATTAATAAAGCAGAGAAGCAACATCAGGATAGCCTAACTTGTTTTGTGCAAATGTAGCTGAGTTCACGATTTATTAATAAAGAATTTTTATTAGTAAAGAAGAGAAGCAACATCAGGATAGACTAACTTGCTTTGTACAAATGCAGTTGAGTTTATGATCGGGACTGCCCTTATCTATAAAGCTTGCAAAGAAAAGATAAACACCAGCTGCCCAAACACCAGCTGCCCGTCTTTCAGTTGTACAATAATGAGGTGTAGATAATGAGAATGCTTTTTCTGGATTAGTTCCAGAATGGATTCTTTGTGAAGTCAGGAAGTACTTTGCCAGTAAGGGACTTCCTTTTTAAAAAAATATTTTGATATTGGACAATGCGCCTGACAACCCAGAACCCCATGAGTTCAACACCAAAGGCCAAAGTGGTCTACTTGCCATCAGAAACAATGTCTCTAATTTAGCCTCTAGATCGGGGGTTACAATGACCCATAAGTCTCATTACACACGGTAAATTGTCAAGACTTTGGAAAAGAATCCCAACAGAGAGGACATTAAGAAAGTCTGCAAGAATTACACCATTGACGATGCCATTGTTGTTACAGAAAAAGCTGTGAAAGCCATCAAGCCCCAAACAATACATTCCTGCTTGTGAAAACGTTCTCCAGCCATTGTGCTTGACTTCACAGGATTATGACAGAGCAAACCAAGAAAATCATGAAAGATTGTGAGCATCTAATAATGGTGAGGGGGGTATCAAGACATGGATCTCAGAGAAATTCAAAAGCTAGTGAACACCACATCAGAGGAAGTAACAGAAGACAGCTTGAGGGAGAGGAGTGTTTTCAGACAAGTGCCAGATAATGAAGAGGAAGACATAGAAGAAGCGGTGCCAGAAGACATATTGATGTTAGACAATTGGGGAGAAGGATTCCAATTACTCAAGACTGCTTTTGACTTCTTTTATGACATGGACACTTCTATGATACAAGTATTGAAACTAAAGCAAACGGTGTAAGGTTTGACAACATATAGAAACATTTTTAGAGAAATTAAAAGGCAAAAAAAGTCAGGCAGAAATTATGTTGTATTTTCATAAAGTTACACTGAGTGTGCCTGCCAATCCTGCCTCCCCCTCTATTTCCTCCACCTCTTCTCCTTCTGCCACCCCTGAGACAGCAAGACCAATCCATCCTCAGCCTACATAAGCCAGTTTTTCTAAAAACCCCTCTGCAGTCTGAAGACAATGGGGATTAAGGTCATTATGATGACCTATTTCCACTTAATGAATAGTAAATACTTTCTTTTTCTTATGATTTTCTTAAGAACATTTTCCTCTAGCTTACTTTGTTGTAAAAATACAGTATAAAATACATGTAACATTTTAAAATGTGTTGAGTATTTAAATTATTGGTAAGGCTTCCAGTCAACAGTAGACTATTATAATACAAGTTTTGTGGGAATCAAAAGTCATATGTAAATTTTTTACTGCACAGGGAGTCAGTGCCCCTACCGTTGGATTCTTCAAAGGTGAACTGTATGGTGAAATAGGATGACTCTGCTCAAGCATGACTCCAGTATTCACTCAATGCTTCAAGAAGAACTTGGATCATCCTGGCCCTCATATGTAGAATGAAGTGCTCTTTAAAATCTCCTTGAGGACTAACATCCAATCAATCTATAATAAGGGAGTATCGACAATTCTGTAACTGCTTTTAGGCTCTCATAAAGCCTGGAAAGATATAACAAAAACGTAGCAAGATGGTAGGAAGTCACACGCTAAGAAGCAGCTTGGAAATGGGTATTACGTAACCAATTTAATAACTCTGGGAAGGCTCCTGAGAAGTTAGATAACACAAGGTTGAAAGATTTGTTATATTCATTATATTCCCTTCCTAGCAGTTGCATTTCTTTCTCAAATCTGAAATATTTATAAGTTAAATTTTTTATGACAGTAATTCTTTATCTTATTTGGGTCAGTGATGCTTTTAAAAATCTTTTGGACACTCTGGACCCACTACCCAGTAAACTGCAACCACTTACAACCTTTGCATACAGTTTAAGTGAATTCTCAATCATCTTCAAGCCTATCCACGGTAGCCAAGTTAAGGACTTCTCCTATAAGGCAGAGTGACTCAAACTCATAAAAGGCTTAAGATGCTTAGGCAATTACATATTACGAATTGAGGTAGAATTTTGAGGAGTCCTTTCTCATTTTCACTTTGGAGCCAGTTCAGGGAAAGCAAAATACTAAGTCTTCAGCCAAATGGTAACAAGCCAATCAAATATTTTTGCCTCAGGCACTATATGCTCTCTTCAAGATTCTATAGCTGTCATTCTTTTTAGATCATTAGAACATCCCCCAACCAAAACACATGTTTATTCAAATACCCTTACATTAAAAAGGAAGTCATGGGGGGCCTTGAAGGCAGAAAATAGCTGTCAAATATAGCCTGGGAGTTGTGTCCAAGGGTAGAAGTAGAAATCTCAAACATTTCCATTGCTGTGATATTAATGGAATAAACCATGTATGATCTACAAGTATTTGTCAACATTAGCCATCCAAAATATCTTCCTTCTCCCTAACCATTTCCCAGTCTCCCAGTTCCAAAAAGAAAAAGATCTCCATAGAAACACCAGGCTATTTGTAGAGAAGCACACTCAAAGTGGTTCTTTTCCCAAAATCAGATCAGTCTGATTTCAGATCAGTCGTGGCTTCCTGTTGCACTGCACTGAAAAAAAAATTTCGAGAAATAAGGTCTTTAATTGTAAAAGAACATTAAGATAATTGTCATGAATATGAAAGAGGAGATTTGTAGCAGATAGACAATGCATTTAGCATCCCAGACTTAGGAGTAGCTCTGTCCACAGTAAGACTGAATAGAGAAAGAATCTTGTGGGAAAAGAACAGAAAGTTGTATTTGTTACCATTTTCATCATCATCATCATCATCATCATCGACAGTCAGAAGGACAAAGATTTATTGAGTAGCTACATACATACTGACCTGCCCCTTATAATTATAATTATATATGCAGTTTTCTCTAATTTATGCTCATTCAATATAGGAAACTTAAATCTGATATACTATTTACTAAACACAATATTTGCATTCTGAAAATTGCCTCTATATTTCTATCATATGTCTCTGGGACCTCAG